TATACTTCCTTACTGAGTTAAAAAGCTTTTTTCATCTCATGTTAGTAAATGGTCAAACTTTTCGAAAAATTATTTTTTGAGAAACGATTATAGTTTCAAACCAAAACTTATATATGGTTAGATGCGCAATAAAATTGTCTATCGAACCTACTATTCAGCTTTTTGATACTTTCAAATTTTTAAATCCGGCAGGGTCCGTTCATGGATGGATTAATCAAAGTAACTTTTAGACAGAGATAGGCGAGTTATCACTCTTTTCAGTCCGAGTCGCATTAAACATTGACTTGAGTCATTTTCTAAAGGTAAAAGTTTCATATAAGTAACTCGAAAGTGACTCGAGTCAATTTATCAAATTCACTTAGTCTTTTGTGTCAAGTCATGGAAAAACATGACTGAAGTCATAACTTGAACTTGTCCATCCCTGCTTTTGGATGTTTTTGCGTTCCCTGTGAATATATCACGATATTTATTTGTTTGTTTGCAGGAAGGACATTCAGATGATTTAGTAAATTGTGGTTAAAGTAAATTTTGGTTAAATTCAATGATATCACTTAAAAATCAAATACGAACATCTGTCTCAGGTATGTTAGGCAAAGAGAAACCAAGAGAAGCATTAATATTTTGAATAGGACCCTGGTTAAGCGCCAAAATTAAAAAAGAAAATAATATATGAAAACAGAGAACAACGATGATTCATGCTGGAATAAATCTTTGATTGTCGAGAATGCACCAAAGATACAATAACGATTTCTACAAATCCTACCATTTCCTATAGTATTCCTATACTTGCCCAGCTCTGATTCGACAAGGTTTCACATAGTGGATTACTGGTTAAGCTTCGCAGTAAGGGATTACCTGATTCTCTGATTCGGTGATTTGACAGCTATCTATCGTTCAGATGCATTGTGACTATGGTTGACGGAAATACATCGGATGAGCTATCTATGACGTGCGGAGTTCCCCAGGGCTCTGTATTAGGACCATTGCTTTTCTAATCTACACTGATGATCTACCTTTATCGGTTAGATCAACTTGTAAATTATTTGCAGATGACGTGTCTCTATACATAACCACAACTGACATCACAACTGCTGTCAAAGTTATGAATCAAGATCTTGCTGGAATCGCTGCATGGTCGGTGAAATGGGCACTATTTTTAAATATGAAAAGTGTGCAGGAATGTTGTTTACGCTAGATCCGTTGGTGACAGGAAGCTCCAACAATACTTCCTTTAATGTAGCCTCATTCTCTTTCTCAATGGATTTTTTCTATTAATCTGCTTTTTTTTCTCATGGGCATACAATGGGGCTTGCCTCGATTTACCCATATTTTATTGCTATGTTTAAATAATAAAAAAAAAAGATTAAAAACCATTTTCATTACAAACGTTTTTAGTTGTACCTTACTCTCTTAATAAACGAAAGAAAGAGTGAAGCAACAACTCACATAAACCTGGAATGAGCCAGACACTGAGTTAAAATAAAAACTATTCTATTTTTCTTTCATTACTTTCCGCAAGCCTTTTTTATAACCTTTCCGCCAGAATTATACCCCCTGACCGAAGAACAATCGGAGTTCCTGAGGGGCATTTGAGAAGGTTTCCTCGTAAGTGCAGAGAATTCGAGTTTTATGTTCTTTGTCGTTCTTTTATGACTGCATCCTGATTCTTAATATAATCAAGTATCCAAGGGTGCTTAGACGGGAATTGTTTACTAGCAGTCGTAATTGCTTTTTCAAAACTATCCAAAGCATCTTGATATTTTCCCTGGTTAAAATAAATAACACCCTCATTATTATATACGGCTGATAAATCAAGTGCACATGCATTTTTTGCTGGTTCAGCTTCAAATAGATTTCGAGCTTGTTCATAATAACCCAAAGCTGTCTTGTAATCTCCATAACCATAATAGACAAGACCTTGATTATTTCTGATTTTACCAGCTGATGAATGATTGGCTTTTAGTGGTTTTGTTATTAAATCAATTCTATCATCAAACGATCTGAATCTGGATGTGGTTGTAGTCGAAGATGGAAATGAATCAGCAGCTAGAAGTTGATTAGTAGAATTAGAAACAAGTACATTAATCGATTCGAATGGATTATCGTTAATGTTTATATCCTCATCTTCTTTATCTTTCAAATAATGTATCGCTAACCGATAATATTCCTCAGCCAATGAATATTCACCCTGTTCATACCATAAATAACCAAGTTTATTATAAATTGTACCACGTTCACTATCATCGTCAGGTAACTCATTCAAGAGAATCTTATAATACCGAATAGCTTTTTCATATTCACCTAATTCACTTAAAAAGTTACCTAATGTTAACAATGTTGTCTCTTCACCCAACTGTTCTTTTAGGTAAGTTGTCAGTTCAATACAACATTGATCATATTCTGCCACTAAATCTAATACAATATTCCACACTTTATCTTCATCTCGATCTACAGATTTTATTCGCCATACGGTACCAACAGAAAATAAGACTTCATCTTCATCGGGAATTTGACTCTGCTCCTGGATTGAAGCATAAGGTACTTGACTATTAATACCAATATTTAATCTAAAAAAGGTCTGTTCATAATTTGAACTGTTTTGTTGATCACGACTACAGTAAATATCTGCTACTTGTTCAACACTAGTGGTTGATATGAAACCGTTCATTGACACTAAACCGCCAATGTTATCTTTCAAATTTTGTAGTGTAATAGATGATAAAATTTTACCTCGATATAAAACTATTGGTGTCAATGCGTCTTTATGATTCTGCTTATATAAAATGTCTAATTGTTTATGAATGTTGGTGATAATATATCGAAATGCAAATAAACAATCAGGATCTCCTTACAGAGAGCTTTATTTGTCAAACGATAACAAAAACACGGTCGTGTATACCAACGTATTGCATTATCGGAAGTAGTTTGATCTAATTCAAATTCAGTAATATTATCGTTTTCTTTTTTACCATTTTCTTTTCTATCATTATCACGATAATATTTACGATAATATCCACGACTAACTTGTATCATAATCTGCTTTGCTCTGTCAATATTTGTCATTTTTAACAGAATTTCAATTATTAACTTAAACCAAATAAAATCAATTGAATACTTATTTAAATTTTTTATTGCACAATTTTTGTCATTTTTTTCATTAAAATAAGTTAATTTAGGTAATATTTTTTTATACGTTAAATTCTCTTCATGATCCTTCTCATTTATTACAAATGCTTTTAAATGTTCATAGAGTAGGTTTTTGTCAATGAAAATTTTATTTCGAGTTTTTAAATAATTTTTTTCAGTCCAATACTGTTGTTCTTGTTCATTTTGACACTGAATGTAAATATGAAGAATTTCTGGTCGATCGTGAACCAGTGAAATGATTTGTAAAGCTAATACATTTGAAACGATCAATATAATTTGTGATTTTGCTTTATTTTGAACCAAATAACGTATGTATTCCCACGACTGTCTAAATAATTTAAGATTATTGAAAATACGTTTTAATTTTGTATGATCTTCATCGTTTTCACTATATGATGAATTCAAGTAGATAGCATTAAAGTCTTGATTAGAATCCGTTGCGGCATCGATCAACGCTAATACCGTATTGTCGTGTTCAGAAATAACAGATCTGAAAATAAAAGTAAATTGAAGCAATTGCAGAAATCTGACTTGTCATTGAACCTTTCTGTTATTGTTCTTGATAATTCACTCATTTTATTAATAATATACTTTCTTTATCTGAAATGAAAAAAACCTTTTAAAAATAGTTTTTCTCATGACTGATAAATCTTATGTACTTCGTTCATTTATCAAAATGAAAACCAAAAAACAGAACTATGTTTAAGGCAAGATTTTTTTTATATTTATATAAATAAAATACAACAACAGAACTGAAAGAAATTTGAAGTTACTCATCACGAATTCGAATTGTAGCTGATATGTTATTGAGATATTCTGTTGTTAGTGATGATGAAATTTTTAATGCAATTTTATATGCTTGTCGAAAATTTTCGAGTGCCTTATCATACTCCAGTTTTCTATAATATACACACCCAATATTGTTATAAATATCGGCTTTTTCTATAGTATCACATTTAGTATCGGTTCGTTTAACAAGTTCATTAAAAGCTTTTTGAAAATTCTTTAAAGCTTGTTCATAATTTTCTTTTTTAAACATTACACAACCAAAATTATAGTACGTTTTAAATATAAAGTATAATACTGCTATGAAAATCATAATAAAATTCTTCTGAATTTATTTAAACACTCGAGCTTTCGATCACAACTTAGATCATTTTCAAGAGTGAATGACAAAAGGAAAAGAAGCAGTATATATACAAAAATACATGCAGAGCGAAAGAAGAATTTTGGAAAAATCTAAAATACCAAACAATAACGAAAGAAGAAGAGAGGAAAAAACCATAATAACACATTAGAATGCGCGTTCTAATGTTCGTAGAACTGTCTCTCCACGCCAAACCGTCCTTTAACAAAAGGACTAAAGATAGTTCTACATATCAATAAATATTCAATTTGAATTTCACATCATTAATATTCTTCCCACCAGCTGAATGTGTCAGCAGACTTTCTTTGATCGTTCTTCTTTTCCAATTGGTTTCATGTGCAACAGTAATTGCATTGTTAAAATCCATAACGTGTTTCTTTTCATGGACATGCTGAACAATTTTTGAATTTGGTGCGTGCCTGCGCACATCATAACGGTGTTCCTCAATACGAATGTTAATGTCTCTCGATGTTTCTCCAAAATATTTAAAATCACAGTTTGTGCAAGGAATAGAATAGACAATATTCTTCGTTTTCCTACTTTCATCTAAGCCCTTTTGTATTGGTAAAAATATACTTTTCAATGTCAGCGTTTTTTTATATGCAATTTTCAAATCCACTGTTGGAATCATTTGTTTGCATAGCTTCTTGATTCTTTGTCCCAATACAAACGTTTCTTCTCCAAAATATGGTAATGTGAAGAATATATTCCTTAACTTTGATTGTAATTTTATAACTTTTCTATGTTTAGGATTTTCCAATCGTTTTGCAATGACCTTCCCTTCAAGAATCCCTTTTCGAATAATATGTGATGGATAACCATTATCACCCAATATATCTGTTAGCCGTTTCAATTGTGTTTCAATCAGTTGTGGTGTTGAACAGATCCGAAGAATGCGTACTGTCAACGTTTTGATAAGACCTAGCTTGTACCTTCGACATTGATTGGATTGATATAATAAATATAACCCGGTATCAGTAGGCTTCTTGTACAACGTTGTGTCATATCTTCTATCATTGCTGTTTCTCATGATCATAACATCAAGATACGGCAATTGTCCATTATTTTCAACTTCCACAGTAAAGTGAATATTTTGATGCCATTGATTAATGGTGTTTAGAAATGTTTCATAATTCTGTTTTTTTGAAAATACACAGAATACATCGTCGACATATCTTAAATACAATTGTGGTTTGTTGAACGATAATTTATTTAATTTTTGTTCCAATTTAATCATAAATACGTCGGCCAAGATAGGAGCTAAACAGCTGCCCATGGCAACACCATCCTTCTGTTTGTATAACTCTGCTTGAAATCTGAAAGGAACATCACATATCGCTAATTTTAATAATTCTTTCATCTCATCTCTGCAAT